CTATTATTGATAAATATTGTTAATAATTAAATATTTAATAAATAATGTTAACAAAAATCAGCAAAAATAATGTTTGTCTTTTTGCTTATTGAATTTCTTTGGTTTAAATTTTTGGGTTTTGTGCTTTTAAGATTGCTACATAATGTTACTTAAAAATACTATTTGCATTTAGTTTAATGAATTGCTTCAAGGATCTAAATAACAACATGAGTCGATATGCCCTATGTTGGTGCTTCTTTTTATGTTTTACTTTTTTTTTGAAATCGGTTTAGAGGGACCGATTTAAGGCCTGTCTATCCTCTGTACCAGTGGCTGACCTGATACAATCCCTGTAGGGGCGTATCGGGAAGCCCCGACATGATACATATCTGCCTATACGGGCCGGTATGTGTCAATACTTTGAACCTTGAATTGCTTTGGTTTACATTTATAGATTTTGTGCTTTGAAGATTGTTACATATTGTAAGTTAAAAATATTACTATTTGAATTTTTTTTTGAAATTTGATAATTGTTATAATTAAAATTGTCAAATAATGTAACAATAGCAATTGTCAAATAATTATAAAAATTATCAAATATAAATTAAAAGAAATTACCATTATTATACATAAATTACAATGTTTATAAAAAAAATTACTAAAAATAAATCAAAAGAAATTATCACAAATTAGTAGACTTTAGGATGATAATTACTTGAAATTATCAAATAATATAATCATAAATACATTAAAATAATTTGACAAAAATTATCATAAATTAGTAGAAATGTCCAAAAATAGCCACTATATTCCATAAAATCGATAAATTACTATAATTTACCAATAAACTATCATATAATAAATATAATACATTAGTACATATTTAGCAAGCAATTAGTATATAATATAAATTACCAGAAATTAGTAGAAATTATATAATATAACTAATTTCCACTAATTGACTAACAAACTATCATATAATAAGTATAAAAAATAAGTATATATTGACCAAGAATTCTCATAAATTAGTATAATAGAAATTACCAGAAATTAGAAGAACTTAGCCAAAAATAATCACTAATTTCCATAAAATATTATATTTACCAAGAATTATCATAAATTATTATATAATAGAAATGACCATAAATTAGTATAACTTAGGGATAAATAACCATTAATTTCCATAAAATATGATAAAATAGATGAAATTAGTATTACTTTATAAAAATAACCATTAAATTCCAAAAATTAGTAGAACTTAGGATGATAATTACTTCAAATTATCAAATAATATGAACCTAAATAAATTACAATAATTTGTCAAAAATTGTATTTCATTTTCCCGACATCGTATGGGTCCCTGCTAGTTGCTTATTAAATGGGTATTTTGATTTCAATTTTTAGGCATTTATTTTCAAAATGAGCAATATATTTATTTCACATGAAAACTATTTTGATCATGTACCTTTGATGTCTTATTTTTAGGCTAAGTTAGGGAGCGCTTAAAATTAAGTGCTTATTTGAGTAAACATGCTTATTTTGGGCAGGGACTACACTAATAATCACTTATTTGCGCTTGGGAAATAAACCCGAAATAAATGCTTATTCTAAAAATAAATACTTATTTGAGAAGCACAAATTTTGGGTTTATTTTTAAGTTCTTATTTCCTTCTAGCCTATCTTGGCCCACCAAGTCATTTTTAAGGTGCATGTGAATCACCCGCCATTTTAAAAATACCAATACTACCTCTGTTTAAAACAAGTGCTTTTCACTAAACACTCATAAGTGCTTATTAGAATAAGCACTTATTTTTATGCACTTACTTTTCAAATAATCATCCCAAACTTGGCCCATGCGATGCATTGGCTGGTGTTAAAAGATAACCATATAAATATTTTATAGGGGAGTAATTATAGGTTTTATAATAAAAGGGAAACTGAAACAGTTGTAAGTAGCCCATATTTTATTTTTTATTTTTTAAATAAAAACACAAAATTCTAAGGGGGTTAGTAGAGCTGTAAAGTGGGCTGTGCAAGGTACGGCCTGGTCACTATAGCAACCAAGCCATGTCAGGCTTCGGTTTTGAGGCTAGCATAGCACAACACGAAAAAGTGGGTCGTGCTATGCTGGGCCACAACGCATACATAATTTTTTAATTTATTTTATTATTTCATATATAAATAATTGTATATATCAAAATTCAAGGGAAGCAATTGTAATTACCAAATTTCAAGAGAAGTTTCAACGACAACAGTCAAAAACTTCAGGAAGGTGATTACAATTACTAAACTTTAGGGAAGGTTTTAACAACAGTCACAAACTTTAGTGAAAGTTTTAGCAATTTATCCTATCTTTTAATTGAGAAAATTAAGACAAAAGAATTTTTGTGAGGAAACATGTTTGTAGGGCAGCATTTGATCCCAAGTAGCTACTACAACCAGCTGGCTGGAGACCTTACCAGCCAACTGGCTGGCATCTTGCAATGTTACATCACGTTTTAATCTAAAACATTGTAGGTCCATGAACAATTGCTATTAATGTAGCAAAATACATTCTTTGATCATTTCTTAGTATTAAAACTCTTTTGGCTAAGTTCAGGAAGAGTATAAATATAAATATGTATACTGCAAAATCTTGTATATTCTATTTCTAAACTTTGTACAAAAATTTGTATTGTACATATTTGTAGCAAAATACATTCTTTGATCATTTCTTAGTATTAAAACTCTATTGACTAAGTTCAGAAAGAGTATAAATACAAATATGTATAATACAAAATCTTGTATTTTTTATTTCTAAACCTTGTTACTGTACATATTTGTATTTGTATCTTTCCAAACTAAGCCTTTAATTCAGAATTAAGTGGGATTTGGGATTTATATAAGCCTTTTTTATTATGGCATTTATTTCTCGTTTTATATTTAATTCTATAAATTTATGCTAAGATTTTTATTGATATTACTATGAAATTGGTATATCTGAATATGTAAACAAATGAATTCGAATCAAATTAACAAAAAAAAAAATCCAAATGTATATAGTACATATCCATTGGATATCAAGGCCATGTTTGGGAGTGCTTAAGTTAAAAATAAGTGCTTAAAAACAAGTGCTTATTTGAATAAGCATTTATTTGCATTTGCCCCACAACTTTTTCAAGTGCTTATTTTTTAAAATAGGTACTTATTTTATATTAGGCGTTTGTAGTTCTTTTCTCTAGTAAACACTTAAATAAACATTTGTAACAATTTAGTCCTTCATTTTCTTTCAAGTTTTCAAAATATACCATTTGAAAGCACTTTTATTAAACTAATTTTATAAAAATACTTTTATAAAACACTTTTATGAAAGTATTTTTATGAAAGTACTTTTATAAAAGCACTTTTATGAATGTACTTTTATGAAAATAGTAACTTTCACAAAAATACTTTTATAAAAATACTTTCATAAAAGTACTTATATAAAAATGCTTTCATAAAAGTACTTTTATAAAATTCAACTAGGGATAATTTTATAAGTGGTAATTTAAAATTCAACTAGAGATAGTTTTGAAAGAAAAAAATTAAATAAGTGCTTATACATAAAAAGATGGAAATTTGGGCTTAAAAAATAAGCCCTTAATTTTAAAATAAAAATTCATTTTAGACTTATTTCCCAGCTTAATGACTCAAATATACACTTCTTTTGAATAAACATATATTTTTAAGCACTCCCAAACATGGCCTAAATTGAATTCCGATCTTTCCGATTTTCATCGGCTTTGCTTTGAAGGTTACCCGTAACCAAATTTAACCCGACCCGTTTGTGCCACTAGCCACAAGCATCATGTAACAAACAGACATGAGACAACTAGCTGAAAAAATCGCATTTCCATACCAATGGATTATTTACTTTTTGGTAATTATATAAAAATTCCTAAAAAATAAATTATTTTTTCTGATAATATTTGCTTGATCGGGTAGTAACGTGTGCCGTGTGCGGAGCAGCTACAACTACCGTATAATTACGGTCCGGAGAGTGGAGACAAATGACAACGACCTTCCTCCGTCTCAGTCTTCTCCGCGAATTCTTTGCCGACTACCTCAGTAAAAGAGTGCCTAAACCGCAATGCCACGCGGCAAACGAGACTACCTGTAACAAATGTTCGGACAGGATTCTTCCATTCCCCTATTACCGCTGGGCCCCACAATCGCAACAGAAAACAGTTCTAATCTTTTACCACGAGTGCTCTCACTAGTCACTACTCGCGTGAGTACACCAACGCCATCGTACACACACACATACATCCCTCTCTCGCTATTTCCCACCTTTTCCATTTTTTGCTCCCGCGCCATCTCTCTCTCTTCCTCCTCCTTTCTTTCTCTTTTCTATCTCACTCCTGAGACCCGCCCGGAGCAGCCTCGCCTCACACTGGAAGGTCAACAGACAATGACGTTAAACAAGGATGAGTACACTTCTCACTCTCTCTCTCGGACTCTGCTCTCTCATCTATCAGATTCTTATTATTCGATTTTCCTTCTCTTGGTTTCTTGTCTGGACTTGCAGGCAAAGGTGCTCGAGCGGCTAGGTTTCAAGATCGAACGTGACTTTCTGACCAAAGTGAGTTTTGTGGAGAATTACTTTGATTGTTTCTGGAAACAAAAGTTATCTCAGGCTTCGATTTTTTCTTTCTTTTTCTCTTTTTAATTTTCTGTCCCGTCGTCCCGGCTTCTTATCTTGGTCGGATTTCGTAGAGTTTATGCTAGTATTCGACAAGTAATTTGTTGATGATTGATGGTGAATTTTCGCATTCCATAATGTGGAATGCTAGTATTCGACAAGCCGCTTTTAGCTTTTGTTTTGATCGAGCTATCTCATTCAGTCCGATCGTCTATCGGAGTTTTTAGCTTGTTCTCCATTTTCGTTTCATCGCAAGTGATCGATTTGCATTCGGCTTAAGTTCAACTAAGTTTTCTACTTTAACTGTATACATATTTGACTCTTCATCTTTCTGTTGATCATCAAGGAGTAAAGAAGATTGGTGAAGCTCTAGATCTCTGCAATGTCCGGCACCGAGTCAGGCCCTCAGGGGCTGACAAGGAAGTCGTCGCGAAGCGCGACAACGACGACCGTCACCATGGAGGTCTTTGACAATGAGGTTGTTCCTCCGAACCTTGCATCCATTGCTCCGATACTCCGTGTCGCGACCGAGATAGAAGCTGAGAGACCGAGAGTTGCATATCTCTGTAAGTTCATTTAACTTGTGACAGAAACTCTTGAAATTTGGAAAGAGAAAGACAGTTGCAATCCTTTCCATTTAAGCTGCGTTTGGTTGCACGTAAGAAGAAAAAACCATACGATCTTATTTCTTGGAAATCTTTCTATTTGAGAAGCATACGAATGCTGCAAGATAAGACATGTATATGAATAGGAGGACAAGCCTCTTATATCTTATGAGAAGGAATGCCATTTTCCTACCATTAGTGCTCATTTTTGGAACGTGTTCAGTTTTCAAAGCACCATAAATAGCAATTTTCAACAATTAATTTATCTTAGGTGCAACCAAACGGAACTTTCAGGTAAGAAATGAATCATTGAATCTGAAATCTTGAGCTAAAATGGCAAGCTTTTCGCTCGATCTCTTAACTTAAAGCAGGTGGCAGTATTGGACCAATCACATTATTGGTTCAACCTAATGGAATATTTAGGCCAAATTTTGATTTGATTTGATTTGGTGATTGATCTGAATGTTCAGCTGCATCATTTAGACGGTGATGTGAATTGTTTTTCGCCGTTATGAGTTATATCATTTGATTTGAAAATAAATTTGTTATTAAAACAAAAGCACATAAAACATTTTTTTTTCATTGTATATGTGTTTTTTTTTCAAAACTGAAAAAACAAATGAATTTCTGGGGTGAAAAACACGTTTTCATATGATGATACTCCAAAAATCAACTTTATTTTTACTTTTGTAATTATCAAAACAAAATAACAGTCACAAAACGTGTTTCAATTGATTTTTTTCTTGTATGTTAAATTGTTTTTTATAAGGCTACAAGCAAGCATTTAAACAGGGCCCAATTTATTGTTCCGCCATGCTCCTCTACTATCGTGTCTATGCAGAGTTGATTCGAGCTAAAAATCTGACATTTTAGCTCGGGTTTTTGATAGCATTACTCCTTAGAAACAGAGATCTCTTAATCTGGCGTGCTTTTGATTACTTTTTTTTAAGAATCGGATATTGGATTAATGTTGCATGCTTTTGAATGTGCATAGTATGTTATGCAGTCTTCTTTACATTTCTGCCTTTATTTAATTTTTCTTTATTTAATTTTTTTTCTGGAAAGGTCGATTTTACGCATTTGATAAAGCTCATAGATTGGATCCAAGCTCGAGCGGTCGTGGTGTTCGACAGTTCAAGACAGCTCTTCTGCAACGATTAGAGCGGGTGAGGTTTTTCAGTTCCTTCGCTTGAACGTCTCAGCTTGCGTGCTTTTAATTTCGCCTGGAACGGGGGTGGAAATTATTTAACAAATTACTAGTGGGGACTGGGGACCCGTGGAAAATAATTAATATTAAATTAATAATTAAAATTTATTGTTAATTAACTAAAAGTATTTAATATTTAAAATTTTAATAATTGTATTTTTATTTAATATTGATTTACAGAAAATAATTACTGTTAATTTAATATGAATAAATATTTTTAATAAATTTAATGTTATTAATAATTTATAATAATTGTTGTTATTTTTACTATTTTTAAATAAAATTTTGATTAACTTTAAATAAATAAAAATAATTACAAAATCTAACATTTTTATTAGTTTCACTAATAATTAACAACTATATAGGAATCACAACATGGTGGGTTCAGGGTGGGGCACCCCATCATTGTCCTTGCCCCATAGTCAAGACACTATCCCATCCACGCCTCGTCCCCAATGTCAAGCGGGTTCCAAGCAAGGCAACCACTCTTCAATGTCGGGCGAGTTCAGGGGCAAGGCACCTCCACTCCTCATCAAAAATGGGGAATCCTCGAATTTCCCTGTCTCGTCCCCAATATTGGGTGGGTTTCAAGTAGAAGTGTAAATCGGGTTTGGGTTGGCACGACACGACTCGCATGCAGCCCACACAAAGTGTGGGTCATGTCGTGCAGGCCCATGGGGTGTCCTGGGTCGTGCCTCCTTGCGGGATAATTTGGGGGGCCGGTTAAGCACGACCCACAGCTCAATCTTGCACGTGCCCGTGCAGTGTCTCGTGGGTCAGGCTGGTCCATGGCCTTGGGGCAGGCCAAACTATGAGAAGTCCATTTAAAAAAAATGAAAAAGATGTTTAAATTTTTATTTCATATCATTTTTTATGTAAACAGTCGTTTATATATACAATTAGACTTATTCATGGGCCGGGTAGCCCAATGGCCCTGCCCTGCCTGACCTATTATTTTTCAGGCTTAGACAAAATTTCATGCCCGTGGTCTCGAGCTCGGGCTTTCTCAAATAAGCCCAATCCAATACTATTACATATATAAAAAAAGTACTTTTGTTATATATATAATAAATATCTATATATATATATATATTTATATATATGCTTCTTAAATTATTAATAAATATCAATTTACTATTAAGAAATATAAATCAGCTTATTAATTTATTAAATTATTACGAAATTAATATAATATTAGTTTATAAAAGTATATTGAAATTGAGACATTTTGTGTACAGATTAGGCTTCAGGCTTGGGCTCGAGCTTCGGGATTTATGTAAGGGCTGGGCTCGGGCTTGGGTTTGCACATTTTATGTTGATAAAGAGGCCCATGTTAGTTATAAAACTATGATTTTTAGAAATTAAAAATTTTATTTAATTATAGTCTAGTATAAAAAATATATAACATTTCTATATATATATATTAATATAAAATTTGTTATTTAAATTTTATATAATAATATTTACCATATATGCATATAACTTCCAAGTTGAGCTTATTAGGGGTTGTTTAGCTTGAGCCATATCCGCTAAAGCCATCATTGGACTCCAAAAGTTTGATACACAATTAGACTTCGAATCTAATTATCCCTGATAATGTGTGGGCATGGTGCATATCTCAGCTAGACCTAACTCAAAAGAAAAAAAGTTTGAGCCTGTAAATTTATAGATCTAATTGGGTTAGGTTAAGTTATAAACAATTTGCTACTTTTTATTATTAATTATTAAAATATAGTAATTTCTAGAAATCATCTTATTTTTAGAAATATTGCTAATTCTAGTAATTAAATATAACTTTTTGGTAATTAAATATAATTTTCTACTATTTATAGCTTAATTTATAATTACTGTTAATTATGGTTTGAAAATAATTATTTTTAATTATATTACTATTAATAATTAAAATACATTATTTTTTATTATTATTCAGTCTTTTTTGCAATAAAATACAATTAATTTAATTTTTTAATTACTTTTAGTATTTCAATTAAGATTTAGGTTTTTCAAAATTTTTGGATTTTTAATTAATTTTTGGTGTTTTTTATTATTATTCCATAATTTTTGCATGAGTATTTTTCAATAATTTTCAGTATTTTCAGCATTTATTTTTGCATATTAATTACTACAAAATTAATTTGCATTTGCTTTCAGTAAAAATAAATTAAATAACTAAATAAATACAATAGTTAATAAAAAATACAGCTAATTTTCAATACTTTTCAATAATTTTTGGCTTGGGTATTTTTTAATAATAAAATACTATTAACTGTACATTTTAATTATTTTCAACAAATACCCTTATTAATATAAAATATCGTTAATTTTAATATTTTTAATTATTTCTAATTAATTATTTGTATCTTTTCATTATTATTCAGTAATTTTTGCAATAAAATACTGTTAATAAAATAGGTTCTACATTTGAAAATTTCATTAATTTTTATCATTTTTAATGAGTTCATTATGCACAATAAAGGTCTAAACTCATAAAAATTATTAATTAATTAAAAATGCATTCATACAAAATTATCTAATAATATTATTAAAATTATCAGTTAATATTTATTATATTTAATTAATTTTTGGTAGTTTTTCATTATTATTCAGTAATTTTTGCAATAAAATATTGTTAGTAAAATGGGTTCTACATTTTAAATTTTTATTAATTTTTTTCATTTTTAATGAGTTCATTGTGCACAATAAAGGTCTTAACTTATAAAGTTATCTAACAATATTATTAAAACTATCAATTAATATTTTTATATTTAAATTTCTTATTTTTATTGTCATTTATTAAGTTTGACTTTTAAGTGGAATTGAAACACATTTTTAATATTTATTAAGTTTTGTTAATATTTATGTTTAGTGAAAGTTTAGTGGATTTTTAAATTAATATTTTTTATTATTTAACCTCAACCTATTTATATTATTTGATTTATATTATTATTATTCTCTCTCTATCTTTTTTAAATGTAATAATAACATGCATTAAAATAAGTGGCCTTGAAAAACCCAGCAATCTCTCTCTTATATGTTTTTTCATATGTAATAATAACATTCATTAAAATAAGAGGCATTAGAAAACTCAAAGGTTTCTCTCTAAGGTGTAAAACTTTACTAATTTAATCAAGATAAGCAATGATTATTTATATTTTTAAAACAAAAAAACAGAAAAAAATAGATAAATAACTTCTTTCAAAAGAGACATGTTAATATGCAAGACCAATTTTAATATATAGATAGATAGATAGATAATGATAAGTTTTTAAGTTTTTACATACTTTCGTAGCCCTGTATTTGGAACATCTTTGTACTTGTATATTTTCATTCATGATGAGACATTCTCAATGCACGGCTGCTAGAGTTGTGCTGACGGTTTGAGTTCGAAATTAGTGAGCACCAAATCCGGATTCCTCCTATTGTACCGGATTACCGGATTAACGTAATCACCCATAAAAAAAGTACAACTGTCAACTGCCACATGCAAATCAATTTCGGAGCACGTGGTCGATACAATCCGGTGATGAACGAGTTATGCCCTGGTTTCACCAATTATGGCGACTCGGTTGCTAGGATGCCCCTGCCGCCAGAATTTCTGGGGGGTTGGGGGGTATGGCACTATGGCCCGTATGATGATGGGCTACCGCCGTTGTGTAGTGACTGTAGTCCCATGGAAAATGAAAAAAATAAAAAAATTCTCAGTCCCGATAAAAGATTTTCCTGTTTCTTGGTAAAATTTCGGTGTAATCCGAACATTTGCAAAGCAGAAATATTTCCTTTCCACACTCTGCGATAAGTGACGAGAAGAAGGTTTAAGAATTATTTCATTCAGTTTCTTGCCTTACTATAATTCCGTGTATTCTAAGATTCCGAGCACTTTCTTCATTTCAAGCTTTGACCTGGTTTCACTATCTTGGATAGTTAATTATTGTTCTGAATCATCGGTTATCACTTGGAATCATATTTGACTTCTGCTGACTTTTAGGATCATTTCCCATTTTGTATGCTGCTGCAGCATAAACTGATTTCAAATTTTGTAATAGGACAATGCATCAAGTCTTGCCTCCAGAGTTAAAAAGAGTGATGCACGTGAAATTGAGAGTTTTTATCAGCAATACTATGAACACTACGTCAGGGCCCTGGATAAAGGGGAGCAGGCAGATAGGTAATTATACAATGATCTTTCTCCCTGTGCTTATGCTCTTGCCTGCATGTTGCGATGGATGGCCGCCCTTTTATTTTGAAATGGATAACTTATGGATTACCGATTTCTTGATAGAGCCCAACTCGGGAAAGCCTACCAGACAGCTGGAGTGCTTTTTGAAGTGCTATGTGCCGTTAATAAGACTGAAAAAGTTGAAGAAGTTGCTCCTGAGGTTTGTCAGATTCTTTCTCCAATGCTTGTTAATTGTTTCAGGTTTTGTTGGCTTGTTTTTTCATTCTTAAGCTGCATTGAGATATATCTAGCGCTTGAGTGTATCTGAATTTTGTACTCTGAACAGATTATTGCAGCAGCAAAAGATGTCCAAGAAAAAACAGAAATATATACCCCCTATAATATTCTTCCACTTGACGCTGCCGGAGCTTCACAATCTATCATGCAGCTTGAGGAGGTATTAGATTTTTTGGATGTTTTTTCATCATTTTCCTTTATGCCACCATGTTTCTCTGAGGTTGCTCATAAAAAAGGTTTATTGCGTCCTGTTCATTCCAGGTTAAGGCAGCTGTGGCTGCTCTGTCAAACAGTCGTGGTTTGAACTGGCCAACTACATATGAGCAGCACAGACAGAAAACTGGAGACTTGGACCTTCTTGATTGGCTAAGGGCTATGTTTGGATTTCAGGTTCTTTAAAATCAACCAAATGATCAAGATCCTAATTTGTTTTAGTTTCTAAAAGCCCTTCAAGAGATTAATGCCCTTTAAACCGTTTGATACTTTATATATACAGAGAGACAATGTGAGAAACCAGAGGGAGCATTTGATTTTATTGCTTGCCAATGTTCATATAAGGCTTGTACCTAAGCCTGAGCCTCTCAATAAGGTATATACTGTTCTCTTATTTAAATTGTACTGATACATTCAACCAGTGAGGGCTAGTCCATTTTAATTTAATGCTCCAAACGATCTTGAAGTGTAAGATAACTGGACAATCCTCCACAGGTAATAAAGTATATACTACTCTCTCTCTCTTTCTCTCCCCCCCCCCTCTCGGAAGGTCATGATGTTGTAGAGCATCTCTTATGTAAAATGTACTATTGTACTGTCACTCAAATATGTCTTTGATCTATTTATTACTTTATATGACTTTATTTATTTATCCTTTTCAAGTTAAAATTCTATCCAACAGATTCTGAGCCACTTAACTTTGAGAATGGATTCCTTTTGTGTCATTGGTTAAAACTGATTCTCCTATGCAGCTTGATGAGCGAGCGGTTGATGCAGTTATGAACAAGGTTTTCAAGAACTATAAAACATGGTGTAAATTTTTGGGACGAAAACACAGTTTACGGTGAGTTGTAGAACATTGCACTTTTTGTTTGTGACCCTTGAAACATGCCTCTGTTGTAGCATAAATACCAGATTTTGGCTTCTTATTCTTAATTTGGTGGCTGCTGTGATAAAATATGTCTCTTACTTGTAGCCTTCCTCAAGGGCAACCTGAAGTCCAGCAGCGGAAGATACTCTACATGGGTCTATATCTTCTTATCTGGGGTGAAGCAGCTAATGTTCGTTTTATGCCAGAATGTATATGCTACATTTTTCATAATGTAAGTATCATTCATTCATCTGTAAATGTTCAATTTTTGGTCTGTTTCAGTTTGTTTACTCTCTTCAACCAAGTTTACATGTTCTGTTTCAAACCAGTAATACCATGTTCTCAATATGCTTTTAGATGGCATATGAACTCCATGGTCTATTAGCTGGAAATGTCAGCATTGTGACTGGTGAAAACATCAGACCTTCTTATGGTGGAGATGATGAGGCATTTCTCAGAAAGGTCATAACACCAATATATCGTGTGATAGAGATGGTATGTTTCAAAAAAAAAAACACTGAGCTAATTCAAAATTCCACTGTTCCCATTCTGGACATAAGGACATGGTAATGATGATTTCCAGGAAGCAAAAAAGAGCAAAAATGGAAAAGCCCCTCATTCAGCTTGGTGTAACTATGACGATCTAAATGAATATTTCTGGTTTGTAATGAGCTTGAATATGATATACCTAAAAATCAGAATCTCATTAGTTTCTTGAGTCTCTGCAGTTTTATTAACAGTTGCATATGCTGCATATCCTTCAGGTCAGCTGGCTGCTTCTCTCTGGGATGGCCTATGCGTGATGATGGTGATTTCTTTAAGTCAACGCGCAACACAACACAGGTGATCTTATCACAATTTTGATAGACCCTAGCACCTTATTCATAAATGTATTATCTAAAATAATTGCCTATTTCTTAACATATACACCATGACAGGGAAACCAAACATCTCATACAAAATCTGAAAGAACAGGCAAGTCAAATTTTATTGAGACCAGAACATTTTGGCACATCTTTCGAAGTTTTGATCGTATGTGGACCTTCTACATACTGGCTCTGCAGGTATTTGTTACAAGAGGGTAGACATGCTAAATCAGCAATATATTTTGCCATTTAAGTCATTTGATAATTATAAATTTCAAATGTTCTGTTTCAGGCAATGTTGATCGTTGCATGGCGTGGTCGTTCACCAATGGATATATTATTCCAAAGGAAGATCTTACATTCTGTTTCTAGTATTTTTATTACAGCAGCCTTTCTACGTTTCCTTCAGAGTATGAATATTCTAACTTATGATCAATTTTTGAATGATAATCATTATAGTTAGTCTTGTTTCCTTTGAACCTTATGTAGCTTAAAAATGAGAATGCCATAAACAATTGCTACTAGGGATATCAAATATGTAGATACTGGGTATTGTGATGATTCATCAAATTTTACTTAATTTTTTATTGAACTATATTTTCCATTTGTATTTTGGGTTCATTTTTGCCCCAAACTGGTCTATTGTTGGTTTTATTTTCAGTTTTATATTTTTACCCTTGTATATTCTTTTGTCCTGATATTATCTGGGTTTGTCAAAATACATGATCCATTTAGTCGTGCATAAGATAACATCAATGACTTCTAATAGATAATTGAAACTTATAATGGTCTAATTTCTACTTGTTTAACTCCTAGACAAAGTTTGCTATGCTCTGGATTTCTGCTCTGATTTCTCATCATATTCATGGTAGGTATTTTGGACCTTGTTTTGAACTTCCCTGGGTACCATAGGTGGAAATTTACTGATGTGATGAGAAACATTCTCAAGGTCGTAGTTAGTCTTGCATGGCTTATTATCCTTCCACTATGTTACTTACAATCCTTCAAAGTCACTCCTCAGCAAATTAAGAGCATGTTGACATGGGCACATCATGTAAAGGGAATACCACCTTTATATATCATTGCTGTGGTTATATACCTTCTTCCCAACTTACTAGCAGGGGCTTTATTTATTTTCCCTATGCTTCGACGGTGGATTGAAAACTCGGACTGGCATATCATAAGGTTTCTTTTATGGTGGTCACAGGTATCAATGCCTGTCTGCTTTATTTTCCTTATTTTCTTTGCACATTCCATTTATTTTCTCTTAATCTGAATTAATTTAATAATCCTATCATTAAAGAGAACTGATTCATGTGCATGAACTCTGAAGCAATTTTACCATTGCTGACATTGTTTATTGAATTTTGTGTTAGTGACTAGAATTATTCTTAGCTTCAATAAAAAAGTACACACTAATTTCCTTTTACATAACTATGGATAGTCAAAGAATTTTAATTAATGATTAAAATCTTCCCAAGTACTATAATAATTATGTTTATTCCTTGTAACAAAAATCTAGCTATGAATCTCTTTTATTTATGTTTGATATAGATGCAACAGCAAATCAATAGGATAATGGGCTTTTTAGATGTACTTTTTTGGGAGAATATAACTATCTATTCATATAATCATAAAGAAAATTAATTGTACATGAGAATATGTACAAAAGGATCAGAAATAACACCGATACCCATCCCTTGACAAGAAAAGGTTTACACTGTCACCATACAAAAACCTTCCAACTCCACCTCCAGCAAGTCCATCAGCAACCAAATTAAGCTCCCTTAGAAAGAACACCAAGCCCTCTTCCCTCTTGCTATAGTTTCTACTCAATCTAATAGCATTGGCTAAATCTCCCTCAATAGCTGAGGATGAAGTCCTCAATCCATGGCTCCCAAGCTCTGATGAGAAGGGAAAGACCTCAGCCTTATCAGAGGTGCATGTCCAATGGGACCACTATGGACCCATAAGCGGCTTCCATCAAGTTTAAATAGAATTATGACAGATCGCAGCCAGTCTCAGGTTTCTGGATGTGCTGCCATCAAATTACAGATTACAGTTTAATATCTTCCTCAACTTGGGAATGGGGGAATGGAGCTTCTCAAGGTGGTTGGACCCCTGGGAAGGATATGAGAATATCCACGAGGTTTCTATGCATGTCATTGTGAGAAACTTCTCTAAATTTCTTGATTCATTCATAATAGTCATCTTTCACTCTTAGAACCACTACTTGGTCATAGACTAAATTATTTTCAATCCTTTGTTATTCCTAATATGTGAAATATCTTTATGTATATTGAATATTTTTTTTGCTTATTTGCAGCCAAGGATTTATGTTGGAAGGGGAATGCATGAAAGTCAGTTTCAACTTATCAGGTGAGTTAGATGCAGAAGACAAGTTTTTACTACACTTTTGGTAATCATGGTTTTGCAATACCCGCAATATTTGGCAAAATTTCTCTGAATTTCCCAATTTTTCTAGGGGATGATAGTTGATACGAAATTATCCAAGAAAAATTTCCTAATATCTCCAATATATTGTCAATATGTTGGCAATATTTTAGATTTCATTGATAGGAAATGCATTTAAGGTTTAAAGTTTCATAATATTATTAGAAACCTCATGATATTTCATTAAATGATAATAGATTTTAAAATTTCTTTTTCTAAAACAAATGGGGATTTAGTGGTTGAATGATTGGTTCACTATTTTGATATAATTCACTAAGTATAATTCAAAAGATAAGAAGTAACACAACTACAAAAGGGAATTCTCAATCTAATAAAAATGTATAGTGACAAAAAAGACAAAAGTTGAAGCAGAAAGTAAATGGCATATCTAATAAAGAGAAGATAAATAACAGACTAAAAGAGAGATAGAGAGAAAGATGCCTATTGAATTCTCTTAATCTTCTTTGTTTGATTCATATGGTTGTTTGCTATGGTTTTTTTTTAGTCTTAAATATGCATTTATACTTCTTATAACGCTTCCTTTAAGATTTTATTAACAACTTTCATGTTTTTTTTTGAAAAACTTCTTGACTTTTTCTATTTTCTAAATATTTTAGTGAAATTAACAAAATATCCTCAAAATTTTCCCATCTCAAAATGGAAAAAATTTCCATTGATATCAAAATTGTGAACCATGCTGGTAATGTCATGATAGGACTTTACTAGGTAGATCCAAAATTTCCTTTCTAGTTAAGATTCATAAGAACCTTGTTCTTTTTTAGGTATACTCTATTTTGGGTGCTGCTTCTGTGTTGCAAATTATCATTCAGCTACTATGTCCAGGTAATTGTACTTTTACAGTTACTTTTGTTATCCTTATATAAATCAGATGCTGAGATATAATTGATTTCTCTTTTTGTTGTTTTTGTCTATCTGTTCTTCCTCAGATAAAACCTTTAGTGAAGCCAACAAGAGATATAATGAATGTTCATCATGTTAGATATGCTTGGCATGAATTTTTTCCTAATGGTATTCATCTACATTTTCTTACCTTGTTGTCCTTCATTTCGCCATTTTATTGTGCTGTCTTAAACTTTTTACTCTTGATGTAGCTCCATACAACTTTGGTGCTGTTGTCTCCCTCTGGGCTCCCGTAATTTTGGTATATCTTACTATTCTATTTTCATATTTAACTTGAATATGAAAATATTTATTGATGTGCGTGATGAGAATTTCATGCATTTTTTCTGGGTAAATATTTCATACAAGTTTGCAAGTTTTATGCAGGTTTATTTTATGGATACTCAAATCTGGTATGCTGTTTTCTCAACCTTGTATGGTGGCTTTACTGGAGCTTTTGATCGTCTTGGAGAGGTAGAAACTTCTTATATATATATATATATAATTTTAAATAGAACTTGTGTTTTTTCCCATGTCATGCATTTCTATAGTCTCTTTCAGAATGACATGTTTCAGTGCCTAAGTCATGTCTCTTCAGTCATATTTGTTCATTTTCTTATAAGACACATGAAACCTGCAGAGTGAAACTAAATTTAGTGAACTTTCTTGCCTCAATTTGCATATTTGCTGCTACCCTTCTTCTGAGAGATGCAAATAACCCTCAGATGCCACAAATAAGGACAATTGTCATAGAACTGATGGCAATTATTCAACATTCTAGTAACTTCCTCCTCTAAGGGAATGAGAAGATGATAGGTAGCTATACTGTTTTCAGCTTACACAGTAGACTTTTCTCCATACTCTGTATACCCCTCTTACAATCTTTGTGATATTGATGAAACCCCTTAAAAACTAACCAGTAAGTATCTCTATCACCACTGTAGATTCTGTTGTAGTTCTCAACATCATACAAAGTATGACACAACTTGCTACTCAATTATGAGTCTCAAGTGTTTCAGTATGAATCTATCTAGATTCATTATCATCATCATCCATGCCTTATCCCAACTATTTGGGGTTGGCTACATGAATCCTGTTTCACCAATCTGTTCTATTTAAAGCCATATCCACTATTAAATTATCAGTGCTTGAATCATTTCTTAATACTTCTACCCATGTCCTTTTTCGTCTATCCCTAGCTCTTCTAGCCCCTTCCACTTGTAACAAATCACTTCTTCTAACTGGAGCTGTTGGTTGTCTTCTATGCACGTGACCAAACCATCTTAGTCTACTCTCTCTCATTTTATCACTTATTGGAGCTACTCTTAGGTTTCTATGGATGGCTTCATTCCTGATCCTATCCTTTATAGTTTTTCCACTCATCCATCTTAGCATTTGCATTTCTGCTACACTCATTTTCTAAATAATATATCTGGATTCATTTGAATCCAGATAAAATATTTCTACTCTCTCTCATTTGAATCTATCTGGATTTATTTCTTAAAATGATTTATAATTACTGTTTTAATTCAACTCAGCATTTATCCCTACAATTTGCGGTCAGCATTCATCCCACCACCACTGTGATCTATGGAGAACCATGCTTATATGATTTATGTGATATGGATCATTTCAATTGAAATTTAGTTATCTACTTTGTCATTCCATTGTTTCTTTTAATTTTTTAAGGGAATTTGTTTTAAAATCCTTACTAGAATAAGATTTATTTGAGCTATTTAATACCTATTAAGAAGCCTTATCGAATTTATTTTCCTTCTAGTTCATTAATAAATATATATGGTAGATAAATCACTTCTTAATATGTTTTTAATTTTTTGATGAAATTCTAAAAGGCAAAAATAAATATTGGATGCTGCACCTTAATTATTCCCAAAATCAAACTGACCTTTTATATGAGCTATTTGCTAACACATAGAGAATTTTCCACATAAAGTGTTTGCGAACATCTGACTGACCTTTTTGGATGAATGTTCGATTTGCCGACATGTCACGTAAGCTTTGTGCATATCCCTGACTCTCTGTTTGCATTCTTCTGCATTGGAGATAGATCTCTTCTCACCTTGTTTCTTTTGAATCTTGTTAGATAGACCATTCAAATCCTGCTGTCTTTGTTTTTCATTAGCATGTATTAGTAGACTCCATGTTTATCAGATGCCTTAATACTTTTAAATGCTTAATGTAACTGTAAATGGCATATATTGCTAGAGATGTTAGATACTGAATTGGAACTTGTAAAATTCATTTTTCTTGTTTCCCACCATATAATTGGCTATTATTTGATCCCAAAAATTTCCATATATGGTTGCAAAAAATCATATAAATTATATTTTTTAAATTGTAAAGAGATCTTATTTAAATAGTTGAAATATTATAAGTTGCATTAAATTAGCTTGACACAGAAAAAAAATGGCCAAGAAAGCAAAAAAAAATCAGCATAATGGATTGGATCTTGGATTTATATCCATGTCTTGGATTTTGAGACATGAGAAATTATACTTCCGGAATCCGGATCAGTCTAATGTGCTTTCCCTTTAGGCATCTTTAATCTCCATTTACTACTATCCCTTCTAGTTTTGGTGACTAGAGGGTAGAGGTGTCCTACCATATCAGGGAGTTTGTTGTAGCTTTAGTAAGTGGGATTAAGAACTTGTAACATTTCCCAGACATTAAGACTAAGAGTTGCAACTGTGATGCAGGCTCATTGGCTAATACAATGCACATTAGATCTCTGCATGTAGGATTGCTCTCCCTTAGTCCTTTAGGTTCTCTTATAGAGCAATGCAGCTTTTCTTCTTTTGTTGTATAGTATACTATGCACACCTCACCTTGTTTATATGCATGTACTTGTGTTTTTTCAAGCATAAAATCTATGCATCAAAGACAAAGACCCTAAGGCTATGTTTGGTTTGAAGGAAAAGGTATGGAAAGGAAGGGAAAGGCAAGGAAACCTATACAAGGTTTGTAAAGGTTTCCCAACCTTTCCCTTCCTTTCCCTACTTTTTCCTTCAAACCAAAAACAACCTAAAAACTTCAAAATGTTGGCAAGTCCCAAGTTTATTTCATATATTACAAATTACTCAAATTATTTTGTTCATGCAAGTCTACAACACAAAAGGTATGAACAATATTGGCATTCAATAAGCTGATAAAAAATATATATTGACATTGGATAATTTAATAAGTTTAATTTTAAATTAAAATTAAAACAATGAACTTGTAGTTTGGGGAAAATGGAAGCAATTAAGATTTGGGGATAGGAAGGTTAGCATATTGACTGGTGAATCTAGTGTTTAGTGCAAGTGATAATTGAGAACAGAATGAGTTTAATAAATTGGTATCAGATAGCAACAATCAAGGTTCTTAGAATAGAAATAAAATAATATTCAAGAAATGATAAAAGTAAGTGTCAGAGTCAGATCTGAATCTGTAGAATAGAGAGAGAGAGAGCAGATTTCTGGGTGTGCCAAAAGTGTCACTCAACACCCAGGAAAATGGTGTTTATATTAAAAAGGTAAAAGGACCAATCTGTCCTTAATATACAAAAAGCAGTGTACAAAAGAATCTAATGTACAACAAAGAACAAAATTACAAAAATAGCCCTTGACTAACTCTCTTAATCTCTACACTCCCCCTCAAACCGATGCCTATGAATAAGCATGTTTGTCCATGAGAAATAGATGTTGTGCCCGAGTCATTGCCTTTGTCAATAGATCAGCAAGTCGGAGGCTAGAGGACTCATGGGGAAGAGAAATAGTGCCAGCACGAAGGAGATTGCAAATGAAGTGGTAATCAACTTCGATGTGCTTTGTGTGCTCATGGAAGACAGGATTGGATGTAATTTTGATTGCACTAACATTGTCTGCAAAGAGAGGAACAGAGGGTGGTGGCTCATGTAGTATGTCATGTACAAGAGATCGGAGCCATATAATTTCACTATGCACCAAGAACATAGCTTTGTATTCAGCTTTAGTGGAAGATTTTGATATTGTAGATTGTTTCTTGCACTTCTAGGAAATAAGAGAGTTACCCAGAAGAACACAGTAGCCCGTAGTGGATCGTCGAGTGTCTGTGCAACTAACCCAATTAACATCTGCACAGGTGATGAGGCTAATGAGATGAGGAGGAGAAGAATAGGTTGCAAGATAAAGTTCTCCACAGATACCTAATAATATGATGGACTACAAACAAATGTGATTGTTGCGGAGATGACACAAACTGGCTCACAACTTGGACTACATAATATATATCTGTTCGAGTCATAATGAGATAGATTAGACTGCCCACCAACTAGCAATAGAGAGTAAGATCTTCAAGAGGGGAACTGTCATCCTTACTAAGTTTCAGATTAATCTCCAAGGGAGTATCAATAGTCTTGGAATCACTGAGGTTAGCCATTCTGACAAGATCCACCGCATATTTATGTTGATTGACAAAATAACCATGAGAATTATGGCTGACCTCTAGTCCCAAAAAATAAGTCAAGGGACCCAAGTCCTTCACCTTAAAGGATTCACTAAGGAGTCATTTCAAGTCAGCAACTTCTTCTACATCATTCCTTGTAATGATTATATCATCAACATAGAGAAGAAGAATGGTCACGCCCTGATCCCGATGTAAAGTAAAAAGGGAGAGAGACTCACTGACATTCCTAAGTATACACAAAATCCAAGAAAGGAAAGAACGGTAGTAGGGTGATAAGGCATTGTAGGAGAGATGGTGTGAAATGCAATGGGCTGTACACTTTCTCTTTCCTTTGCAGAGTGCAATGGGAAGATCAAGATCACGCCATTTTTCTTCATGATAAATAACGAGAGGAAATGATTTACATGTTTCAAGAGTCAATTAGGAACTGAAGACTAAGGGTTTGTTCGTTTCCTCTTAACTCTTACCTCTTAAGAGGAATCTTGCAACTTTAAGAGGAAAATGGCTGTTTGTTTCCTCTTATCTCTTATCTCTTATCTCTTAAGGCTATGTTTGGTTTGAAGGAAAATGTAGGGAAAGGAAGGGAAAGGTAGGGAAACCTTTACAAACCGTGTATTGGTTTCCCTGTCTTTCCCATCCTTTCCCTACCTTTTCCTTTAAACCAAACATAGCCTAAACTGGAATCTTATGGTTTTTTTGTTTTCTAATGATACCCCCAAAGCACAAGGACCTCATATGCAATAATAATAATTAATAATTAATAATTATGATAATAATTATTATAATTTCAAGTTAATTAATAACTAATTAATAATTAATCAATACTTATTATTATAATCATTATTCACTATTCATTATACATTAATAATTAATAATTATTCATTTGTAATTTTTAATTTTTAACTAATTATTATAATAATTAATATTAATAGTAAATTAATTATTATTATTAAAGTAATTATTATTAACTATTAATTAATAACACTTAATATTTAATATTTAAATAATAATTTTTCATTAATTATTATAAT